TTTTTAAAAAAAAAAAAAAAAAAAAAAAAAATTGTTTTAACCACATTTCAAATTTGAATGAGGAAACCTCATTTAAATTTTGCAGATACAAAAGTTTTAGCTAAGAGACTTTTGACACACCTATCCAACCCGTAACCTTAAACCTTTTGACATTCACCCATTGCAAACTCTAGTCTTTGCAAAAACTCTCTTTGTTTTAAAGAAAATGGTTATATCAAACATTCAATATGATAGTCATGTCAGAAAAGTAGGGACTAGATTGCATTTTTTTCTGGCTGATGTAATCTTTAAAATTACATATTTAGGTACCACCAGAGGACTTCTTGGGGGGCAAAGATTGGAAGGTTAGGGCCTTATTTTTAAAGTAACCTACCAAAACATTTTAATTCCTGTATGTTTAGCTCTACTTTTCTAGGCTGCTTACCTGGTTAGATATTTAGGAAAAGCAATTATTATGAATCCCAATTTCATAACCTGAACAATGCAAAAGAATGAAGGAAGACAGACCCTTTGCAGAGGGAATGAAATAAACATGGGATCAAGGCTGGCTGTTTCTCAGATCTCCTTCTCTACTAACCCAAACTGACATATCATGGCCAAAATTACTAGCCTACATCCCTATTGCCATCAATAATATCCCATAGTACTGGTATAGTAGTACATTATAGCCTGAAATGTTTGCAGATCAGAGGCATTAAAATCAAAGAGCTGGAGCAGGTGGATGGACCTATTTTCATGGCATCTCCAGTATTGGGATTAGCAACAAGTAGGCCCATCACTCCTCACACTAAAAACCTAGGGCATGTTTCCTTCACTCAGAGGAAGCTTAATAAGTAATAAGTAAAGTATATAACATTAAAAATGCATAGCAGCATTCATTTGAGTGATCTTCTACACCTGCTGTGGAGTTGCTAGGTCAGTCTACACGTTACTAATCTGTAGCCCTTCCTGGAATGCTAAAGCCAGTGATCCTCAGCCTGGATACTGCAGCACCCTGGGGTCTCATGATCCTTTCAAGGGTAGCATAGGGTGCCATGTTAGTACTGTTAGATGTGCAAACACAATTCACAAAATAAAACCAACATTTTCAAATAGATAGCCATTGTGTTAAAAATGTTCTGACTTGTTATGGTCTTTCTGAGTTCTTTGCAATAGAATTACTGTAGTAATTTTCTAGTGAAAAAATGAGGGAAAACAAAGATCTGGCATTTTCTGAGGAGGGTCTTGAGCTGAAAAAGGTTGAGAGCCACTATCCTAAGCTCACAGGCTAGCTGCTCTGCACAGGAAGCAGTTTAGTCTACTCACTAGCACTGCTTTGCAAGAATGAGTTTAAATGTGATATCTTACTTAAGAGAAAATCCAGTGTCTGAATGATGACTCTCACTCATGGGTGAGAGAGGGGCCCCATTTTCCTCCATAGAGGACTGAGATGACCCAGCCAGAGTGTCCATTGGATTGTTTCCACAATAGAGTGGAGACTGAGGAAGGCAAAGCAAAGATTTCATTAAAGCAGATGACACATGGCTACTGATGGAATAGATGTTGCTATATTTTTCATCATTTGTCTTCATCATCTCACAAGATTGGGTAGCAGTAAGTGGGAAGCTCCGTGTTCTTAGGCTTTGTGCTTTTGCTACTGGAGTTTCAGTGACTGGTGATGGTAGTAAACCTAAGGCAACTCCCATATCTGTGCTGCTGCTGCTTCTCTTTGGGACAGAGGTAAGTGGCTCTTTGGGAGAGCAACACCTATCTAGGCTCTTTGTGTCTGTAACCACAGAAGTCTTTGGATGTAACTGGCTGTTTTCAGATCCTTGATCTTCCATGTCGCTGAAAGTGGCTTTGTTTAAACAAGCTGTAGCTGATTCTGGCTCTTTTGTACAGGGAGAATTGTCTTTTTGCACCAATGGGTTTGGGCTAAGTTTTCTGTTTCCTTTTTCAGGGGACTGAGGAGCACTCAAAGTTTCAAAGGAGTTTATTCTCTGTTTTATTGATGATCCTCTGGGTGAGACCCGGGATAAACTAGAACCCAGTCCTATACTGGAAATACCCTGAGGGTCAGCAGAATTCTGATCTGCCTGTGGTTTTGTATCTGAATGTGCCTTCCTCAAACATTTTAGACTTTGGCGAAACCAGGCTGGCTTGGGTGCCACTGGAGGGCCCTTCTTCATGGAGTCATGTTCAGGTGACTTGTGTTCTTTTGAACTGGCTGCTTCTGTTTCCGATTTCTGCAGAACTGCCTCTGGACAGCCTGTGTTTTGACTTTCTTCATTTGGGTTGCTGTTGGCTTGCAAGTCTATGTGGCTGTTATCTTCACTCATGGTAGGATTAAACAAGCTCTTTATGCAGTCAGAAATTCTAACCCAGGGGTCTTCTGTTGTAGTATCAAGACCGTAATCTACCCGTGCTTGTCTTCTAAGTACCGGCCTTTGTATTGATGAGAGAGGATTTCCTGTATTATAAAAACAATTATTGTAGACACATCTCCTTTTCATTCTCCCCATATATCCCTTTCAATGCATTGTTATTTTACTACCTGTGACACAAAACTCAAGCCTCTGTGTAGCCTTTTAAAAGTTACAGATCTCAGTCTAGAACTTCTGTTTTACTGTAGCAGAGATCAGCTTGTACTGACATTAAATTTAGCTGCATGCATAGAAGGCTCAGCAGTGCAGTCATTTGCTCGGGGTACATGGATCTTCTAAAAATTCCTTGTGCAGATGTTGTGCATGTTACAGCACTGGAAATAGAAGACTACGTTTACAATCTCACTAACAATGGACAGAACAGGCTGGTTTCACAGCTGACTAAAAAAAGTTACTCTTACCTCTTACCTCGTATACAAGGTACTTCCAATTTAAACACTTTCTCTCACAGAAGCCTGTTTCTAACTGAAGCGTCTGCATACCCCTTGGAAAAAAAATTGCACAAACATTTCCTGTTGCGTTTTTCTATTGTGTACAATTTTAACTTGGGTTATAGGGTGCTTTGTACCTTATCTAATGATTAAACTTCATAAAACTTCTCACCCTTCTCTTACTCAAATAAATTATGCTTTCTTTTAATTCCGTTCACAGTGGGAATGGGAAAAACATCAACTGAACTGTGAAGGCTAACTCCTTTAATTTTCAAAGGCTACTTCAGAAAAGCATAAGGAGTGAAGAAGAAGAGAAAATTCCCATGGGTAGTTCATCTGTATGTATTAGAACCACTTGGGCCTATATTAAGAGACTCGGTGAAATGAGGTGGTTTTCAGGGAGGGAGTATGGGTAGTATGGTGGTCTGCTTCAGTGTAAAACAATGAATACTTTAGGAACTCAGGATTGTACATACCCCTAGTCAACAGTTAATTCTAACCAACTCTACAGTTCATTGACTTGATATCAATTGTCTGTGACCCTGTTCCAGTTTATTTCTGGAACTGTAGATCAAAACTATATTTAGTGAATATTATAAACAAATTCAGTATCAGTTTTAATATAAATAATAATATAATTAGGGGAGGCCTTTTTAATAGACCGCCAATTTGGTTTTTTTGGTGTACTTTGTTACACCTATGATTGTTCACCCTAAACCATACCATTTTGTGGCAGTCTATTTTTTGAAAAAGAATTAAAATGGATGTGAATCTCATTTTTTTTCTCCCAACTATTTACACTTGTAACAGTGCACTTGCTGTTAGTATTAGTATATAAATGGAATGAAACATACCTGGGTTTGCTTTCCTCACTTGATCTCTATCTCCTGAAAATGCAGCTGTCTGTTCAGTGTCTCTTGGTGCTAGAGGAGTTGCAAAGAGGCTGTGGGTTATAACTGTTTTATTTCCCTGTAGCAGTAGGTCTCCTGTTTCCTGCTAAATAAACAGGAAGTAGAACTGTGTCAGAATATAATTATACAAACCACATTATGCATATGAGCCTAAAGGAAAATGCTCTTTATAATTTTGTTTTTAAGATGAGAATAAATATTAAATGGCAGCCAAGGTTTCTATTCTGGTTAGGAAGTAACAGTTAAACATCCAATTAAATTGGATTTATTCTGTGTTTTAGGAAAATTGGCAAGATAGTTTACTGTAAGCTTATAAATGGGGAGGTATAATTAACTTCTCAAATTTAGATAGATTCATTGCTTCGTAAGCCATTCTGTGTGTAATTGCACCACAACAAGCCAAGAGATTGCCTGCTATAATTTTAGATTTTTATAAAACCAGCCCTACAGTAATCTCTTGCAAATCAGTTAAGCAAAGCCAGAAAATGAACTGCCTTCATCTTCATTTTATACAATGCTTTCTTTGTAGATCCTTTATCCCCAAACACAAAATTGTAATAAACTCAGTTCATGCACAGAGCTACAGAGCTCTTCCCTTGCTTTTCATTGAAAACACAGAATCAGAGGTTTTGTTTGAGGTCAGAGTAAATGCTACTCTAGGCAGCCCTTAGTGGATGCTCTAAAATTACTAGATTACTTTGTAAAACCAGTATTACCATCTGCTGTATTGTAATCTTCTGAGCAATTTTTGTGAACTGCAAACCGGCAGAGTTAAAGTATTTAAAGGAACCAAACACAAGCAGGAGAGGGAGAAAAAATTGAAAACAAAATGAGATAATTCAGCAAAAAAATCAACTCCCTGACAACTCTTCAGTTTCCCCTTAGTACTACAGTTAATACCTCCTATTCCCCATTCCACCAAGGAGTTTTTCATAGGACCATAGTAAACTTACCAGATTCTGGAATGGGCTTGCAAGGGAGGTGGTGCTCCCCCCTGCCTTAGAGGTCTTAAAGAGGAGACTGGACAAGCACCTGGCTGGGGTCATCTGACTCCAGTGCTCTTTGCTGCCTAGGGCAGTGCAGGGAGTCAGACTCGGTGATCTACTGAGGTCCCTTCTGACCCTAAAAATCTATGAAATCTATGCAACTTCATAGGATTTTACTTCATAGGACCTTCCTGGGCCATTGAGACCAATTCTCAGGTCCCGACCACTGCTACTGGCCTTAGCAACATCCAGCAGGACACATTTTCTAATGGCCTTCTATAAGGCAGCATCTTCATTTCTATTACTAAGAAGGGCTTCCTCAGACTTTTTAATCTATTATCTTCTAACTTGCAACTCAGTGTGTGAGGTAATCTGCTGCTTGATGCCCCATGATAACATTGCAAATAATTAGAGGAACAATGGTAGATTTTCTCTGAGGATGAAAGTAGATTATCCCTAGTCATGTTTATTTTAAGCAGTGCAAGTTGCTCGATATTGTTCTTCCAATTGGGAGGCTGATCTTGTACAATGTGAGCTCTTTGGGCCCCCAAATCTCACTAGTCCTTCCACTGATAGGACTAGTGAGATTTCAGGGCACAAGGAGCATGTGGTTAGATGACTGCGTGCTCCTTGCTGGCAGTGATGATATCTACTTACTTCTTGACACAGGGTTCTGTAGATATTAATAATGACAACTTAAAGCACACATTTCAGACATTTCAGCTAAACAGTTCTGACTTGAAGAAAGTAACCTTACCGTCTGCAGGCACCACGCACAAAGTCCTGGCCAGCACTTCTCAAACTGAGCCATGTAGCATGTTTGAGAAATAAAGGAAAATAACATGTAGGGAAGCAATAAATCTGTTCCTAATACTCTCAAATACAATCTGAAGGGAAACCTTCTTTTTCATGTACTCAGAGCATACATTAGCTTAAAACCCAGGAACAAGTCTCTCTGGGGAAGTCTGCTTCATTAGTGAAGCTCAACGTTTTGTCATGCATCTTGATCTCAGGTTTTCTTTTGTTTCTCTTATCACCATAGAATCAAACCTGCAGCTTAACCAAGAACTGCAGTGTTTCTCTGCTCAAAACAATTGTGTGTTAAATAAGGCTTCAAGAACCTGTTTTTTCCCTTTGTTTTTAAATTTTAACACCAATGGTTTTATAGCAGTTCTTTTTGTGCATGAATACATTTCTCTTACACTCCATCATAAATGATGTGTCCTTATTAGCTAGCTTTATTCTGTAATTTTGATCAAAGCCTGTGCTCTTGTACAGATTTCTTTTTAGTGCTAAGCCCTGAGCTATTGTTTGCTCAGTTCGGCTTGTTTTGCATGTTTTTAAATTCTGTTAATTTTTACTGGCATATTTCTAAACCCATGGTAAAATGCATTCCTTTTCTTTGATAAACCACAACTTGGTTTCCACACAAAATTCTCATCCATCTCATATTCAAATTCATTACACTATTTCTTTTAATTCCATTCATAATGGGAATGGGCAAAACATAAATCAAACTGTGAGGGCTTAACCCACTTAATTTTCAAAGACTTCAGATAAGCATAAATAGTCAAAAATTAGATAAAACTCCCATAGATAGTTCATCTGCATGTGTTAGTCATTTAGGCCTATATTAAGGGACTTGGGGCAGAAATCTCCCACTGCTCCTAATATTAGCTAATTTATTTTGATGTATATGCTAATGCAAAAATGGCTCCACATTATTGTTCACACTATTCATTGGTCTCGCTATTTAAGGAATGTCTTGGCTCTATGAATTTGCAGTTGTAGACTGGTGGGAGTAACCATATCAGTATGACAGTAAGCAGGGTAGAGATGCACCTTGTGAACAAGTGAATCAGAGATGCATAAACTTTGTGATCAAGAGCAGGAGTATGACAATAAGCTGTTCAGCCTCTTCCAATCCTGATGTGCAACACACTGCTGTTTCAGTTTGAAAGCAGAGCCTACCCAATACTCTGAATTATTTGGGGTTGGTGATGCATATTCACTTGGGGACTGCAGTGAGATTTTCAGATGCAGTCTCACTCCTTTCTTTATTTGGATATGGGCACAAGTTTCCAGACGTGCAAGATAAATGCATTAAAACATTTCTCTGCCTTGTAGCTTTAATTTTTTTTTTGTTTTTTTGTTTTTTTGGGGGGGAGGGGGGAAGGGGTCATGCAACCAAGGTTCAGATTTTGCTATGCATATCATTTTGTCTTCAAATAGAAGAAACTTGAAAAAGAACAACCTCTGATCACTGTGCAGAATTTTCTTTACCTGAACATTTGTAGAAGACGGACTCCTATCATCTTGTGGTACGGGCTTCTTGTTCACATCTGTGTTACTCTGGTCATTGTCTGTGCAATCTTGTTTGAAATACTTCCTTGGTGGAGGTTTGGGCTTTGATGATTTAGGTTTTCTAACAAGAATCTCTGTAGACTTTTTAATGCTCTGTGAGGGACGATTTCCTTCATTGCTAGTGGGAGGGGACTGGTTCTCCAAGCTGGTTCTAGACGATGAACACAACAAGCCAGGTTGCCTGGTAATTGGTACATCAATACTATGTACTCTTGCCTTCAGGTCAGCCAGCTGGTATGGAGTACCATTGTTGCAAGATGACCTGGGGTTGTAACTACTGTCACTGCTGGAACGAGTCATTAGCTTTTGAGATCTGTGGTTGCAATAAGTAACGTTTCTCTCAATGTAATTTTTTTCACATTGGTATCTGCCATTCCAGTTGGTTTCTAGTCTTTTGACACCTGTTATCAGAAACATAAACATAAAACATGGTATTCGTCAATAGAGATCCCCAAATTAATTTGATTTTAAGCCTCATTTAATCTGTTGCAAAACACCATTGCATGAGTATGGAGATGTAATTAGCATACGGAAGAGATGTAGAGGGGTAAATCTATCTGTAGAGGCTTGTATATTAAGGAATCCTGTTTCAGTAAGACATAAAAATATGACCTGTTCTCCTACACTTTGCTATTGATTCAACCTGTTTCCTTTTACAAAGAAGAGTTGGGTAACAGGAATGCAGACTTGTAAACTGGTACCTTATAGCGCCATATTATGGAACTTGGCAAGTAGCCTTAATGCACAACCTCACAGGCCTTTGCCCATGAAGAGAATAGCAGCCTCATTTCACTCAGAGGTAGGCTGCTTTGCCTGCTGGCAATGGCTCAGATACTTTCAACTGGAAGCAATGGGGTTGAAGACCAACTGAAGCAATTTTATACAAGAAACCTTATGATTAAGAAAAAAAACTGGGGAAGAGGCAGGACCTGTCTGTTACTGATAGGAAGTAAGTACTAAAATAAAAATCACTGCAAAGGGCCCAGCAGAGTGATTCTATTAGCGGTCACCGCATACCACTTATCATCCATTCCCACCCTCAGGTCTCACGTCTCCGAGTTTTTCCTTTTAAATGAATGCTTTCTCTCCCAGAGGTGCTCCTTCGTCAATTGAGCAGAGGGATTTCTCAAACATGCAGATGACTTGGGGGCACTTCGTTTTCTGTTCCCAGAGCTAAATGTGCAGCTGACCCCACATGAGGGTGAACCCCAGTTTAGTGCCCACCGCTGGCAGGGCATTGCTCTTGCTGTGTTTATCCGAAAGGCAGGATGTACGTGTAAAGTGTCTTAAAAGGTCTATCTATGGGAGCTGGAAAAGAAAGAGTATGGAGTTTACCATGGTAGACTGTAGGAGCAGGTCAGTTGCCCAGTGGCCTGGTGCTTCTGTACAGTTAATGCTGTTTCAGCGAGTGTCACCTGAATATCTGGTAATGCACATGTTGCTGGTAAACGGCTTTTACTTTTACCAGATATGCAGCAAGAAAAGGGAGGGAAAAATCAACTGAGACCACATGTCAGGATTTGGGGAGGTAAGCTGGGTTTCTTGAGCTTCTCACAACACTCAGGCAACTTGTTTGAGAATGGACTTCAGTAATGTTGACCTATGCTCTTTCCTCGTCTTCCTTTTCTGCTCTAGATTACTTGACTTGTTGCTTGGGCATTATGGCAATACCTAGAAGTTTTGTATTTCTATCAAGTCTCGCTCATAATAGCTCAGCCAGCTGAATGAATTCCCTTACCTTCAGTGCTCCATTGATGCCTTTCCCTTCCAAATCGGTTATTCTCCACGGCTTGTGCAACAGCTTCCTTTAGCTGTTGTTCAGAGACCTACAAAATATCATATCATTATAAATTCATCACAAGATTGTTGTACAGTATTTAGTGCTCAACTCCTACAAACCCATTCTCACAGAAATGGTCCTTAACTCAGGCAAATAACCTCTGAAATTCATCAGCTTAATCATGTGAGCACGGAATATATATGTGAGGAAGGATCTGTAGGCTCTTAATTACTAATGCATATCATTCTAAGTGTTGGACTGATGTAATAGACGTGTGGCTTTTCTTGACACTGCAGATAAATCAGATATATTTTTCAAGACTAAATGGAAGGCTTTATATTCCATACTATGCAGGAGTCCGGATTTGCCGTTGTATGCTTTTACACCATATTTCCCTATCATTTCGCATGCAAATGAAGCATATTAGTAGAACATACAGAAACATTTCTAGAAACAATATCACACAAGTCTACTATTTTTCAGGCCTGTGCAAAGTGGCTAGTATTCGCTTCGGATTCGGATTTGGCCAATTCAGGGGACACTGATTTGATTCGGTGATTCAAATCACTGTCCCGAATTGATTCAGCTGAATCTGATTCAGAGATTTCAGCTGCTCCCAAATCTCTGAATCACCCCTCCCCACCCTCCCAGCCCAGCAAAGGCTGCCCCGCCTGCCCCAGCTCCCGGCTGTTTGAAAAAAAAAAGCCCTGACTCACCTGGTGCTGCTGGGCAGGGGGGCAATCCCCACTGCCCCACACTGCATGGGGGGGCTCTGCACAAGCCCCCCTCCCCTCGCTTCCCCAGTCCCCCCCACGGGTGCCCCACCTGGGCCAGATCCAGCCCTTTAAGAAAAGAAAAACAATGAGAAAAGCCCACCATTCCTGCCAGCGGGGGGTGATCCTCACTGCCCACCATTATCCCACGCCATGTAGGGGGCTCTGCACAAGCCCCCCGAAACCTGAGGCTGCTGCAGGAGCGGTGAGTCCCAAAGCTTTCCTCGGCTTTTTTTTCTTAAAGGGCCAGAGCTGGCCCAGGCAGGGCAGGCATGGCGGGGTTGGGGGCCTTGTGCAGACCCCCCCATGCAGTGGGGGGCAGTGGGGATCACTCCACTGCCTGGCAGCACCCGGTGAAC